GCATTCAGGGCAAGCCTCAAGAAATTTGGCTATAAAATCCAGCTTTCTATAAAATCCAGCTTTCCACCTTCAACTGCAAGATGCATAAGAGTCAAACCGCCCCCTTCCTTTAACACGGACGAGATCCTCATCAATTCTCAGGAGCTCAGATACTATAAGAGTTCGGTGATTTAGGAGGGCAAGATGCATGGGAGTAAACCCAGTTGGGTTTGGCTTCCTTGCATATGATGGGTTTAAGTTCATCATTTCCATAACAAAATCAATGTGCCCTTCAGAGGCAGCCATATGTAACGGAGTATCAACGAAAGGGACTGCAACAATGTTAGCTAAACCAAATGGATTCTCTTGAATCAATGCATACAAATCATCGACAATCTCTTGCTTGAGCAACCTCTCTCATTCTCTCATCCATGGCAATTTGCAAGATGAAACAAAAGGTTGGTGAAGGAAATAAGTTGCACAGTTCCCCTAATATAAAGCACGCTATAACTAGTTAAGGCGCCTGTTCCTTGAATTTCTTCCTAGAAAATCCAACGAGGAAATTTCCTAGTTGTTGGAAGTGAGCTGTGGTGTCAAAGCTTTGACATTTCCACTCTTGACAAACTGGCAGCCAGGTCCTGAAAACTCTCTTACATTTACACATCTTTTACATACATTTCCTAGAATTTGCAGCAAAATTTTACATTGACATTTTGTCCAAGTTTTCGGTGTATGTTTGTAAAACAAACATTGTAGATGTACTCTTCTTGCCCAAAAAGTATATAATAAATAAATAAATATTGTAGTCAAATATTAGATGCGAATCAGGAGAAGAAAAGAACTATCTGATGTCCTAGTTTCTGCTATATATTGCAGCAAAGCCTAGTGAAAAAACTGAGTTGGGGTTGACCCCATCTCCGTCGTCGTGGTGAAGCCTGCACCCCTTCCATTTTCACTTCAATTACTGGTTTAATTACCAGTTTCAATTTCTAAGTTTCTCTCTTTATTTCTCCTCCCCTAGTCCTCTCTACCTTAAAAACGTCAACACCAGTGAGTAGGGGCTAACCTTAACTTCATATTGCGATGGAGGACCAATTTTGACCTTCTCTTTTACTCAACTCCTCCTCTGGCAGCACAAGTCTCTGGTCCAGCACTTTAACAAAATCCATAGATATGTTTGTCAGTTCAAGAAAAAGATTTGAACTTCTGAACAATGAATGCCAGGAAGACATGGTTGTTGTTAAAAAGTAATTAGCAACTCCAGGATACTACCTTGCAGCAAAGAAAGAATGTCTTCATGGCGATTAGAATGCTTAGCAACAAAGAAAGAGATAAGCGGAGAATGATGCAACATACTGAAGGATAACAAGCTTAAAGACTTAAAATAATTAGGAGGTTTGGACCAAGCCTATATGACTTCTTTGACTCCAAGCTAGCCTATTTTGAAAATGTGCTATTCCATAGGTCATGCAGGCTTTTTTCCTCCATTTCCAAATTTGCCAGCTAGCAAAAGAGAGGACCAATGCCAATCACCAAGTCTAATTCTACCCCACTTTCTGATTTTATTGATCAACCAGTGACAGTCACCATTAAAAAAATCCATGCTCCAATAGGTCTGGGGATTTAAGCTGCCAAGTCTGACTGAAACAAACACTCCTTTTTTTTTTCTAATCTACCAATTTATTTCTCTTTGAATTTAGCAACTGTCAGTCTATTCACAACCATGACAATATGGTTTATGTTAAATTGAGTGAATAAGACATAGTCTTTTTTTTTTTTTTTTTTTCGATCAGCAAAAACATTTTATTGATAAAACAGAGTACAAGGGGTACTCAAACTCACTTAGCACAATACAATCCAATCAAAATAAAATCCCCTACATACAGCCCGTTGCTTTTGTACCCTTCCATTTACCATAAATAGTTTTTATGCATGCAACTAGATCAATAATCTAGTCTGAAAGATTAATAGTGTACCAATCTATTCAGGCTTTAATCCAATAAAAAGATCTCATTTGGATAAATTCAAACAACTTGCCTGAATTTACCTCTTTGTTGTGGAAAATCTTTCTGTTTCGAGCAATCCACACGGACCAAACAACAGTTTTCCAAATACAATCCCAGCCTTCTCTAATGGTTGATCCTTTAGTCGTTGTCCCAAAATGCTGAAAAGCTTTCCAGCAATCCTTGTTCAATGTTATATTGGTTCCCCACCATTTGGAGCAAGCCTTCCACACCCACCTAACTATTTTGCAGTTTTAAAACAGATGAGTAGAATCCTCTTCTTTTTCATTACAAAGAGTGCACTTACCTTCTGTCATGTCTTTAATGATCCCTCTTCTCAACAAGTTAGCCTTGGTTGGTATTCTATCCAACAATAATTGCCAGGTGAATGCTAATATTTTGCTAGGAAGAATGGAGTTCCATATTCTTTTGAAGGTCTTAACTTCTTCCGATTCCCCTTGCTCCATCGTTAGAAGAGAATAAGCAATTTTGATTGAATATTGGCCACCCTTACCATGAATCTGTTAGAAATTTTGAACACCACAATCCCACGCAAACGAAAGCGATAAAAAAATTGAGACAACAATTTAACGTGATTTAACTTGTAAACCTCTCAACAAGTCTACATCCACAGGAAAGAGAGAAAAAAATCCACTATTAAGAAAAATAGTATAATAATTTAGAAACTCTCTCACTCAAGAAGCTCTCAACACCCTAGCTTAAATATATAAAAGCTCCAAAATTCTCCCTGATACTCTCTCTTAATCTACACTAGGATTTCTCACAATTTCTCTCTTTCTTTTCTCTCACAAGAGCTCTCATTCAATTTCTCTTGCTTTCCCCTACTTTTTGCTTTCTCATTGCCTTTGCATACATGGGTATTTATAATGAAAAATCCAACCACCCATGCACCATTTTTGTTTGCCTCATTACCACCGATGCATGATTTTTCTTGCTCATTAAATGGGTCAACATGCAATCTTGCATGATTTCAACAAAGAAATCTTAGCCCACAACTAGCTAGGTTGGTAAAGAGATTTCACCCATGGAAAGTCCATGTGTTCACATGCATGGGGTTGGACTTTCTACCAACAATCTCCCCCCCAACCCCATGGGAGGAGAAACCAACCATGACTCAGCTCCCCCTGCTCAAAAACACTTCATCATGGTGTCCTATTTTTGAGAGTTTCCTCCTAGTATAGGATAGGACAAACCTACACTAGGTGCACTACAGAAATTAATTTTGAACCAAGATAAGTTCTGAGAGAAAATCACACCTCCTCGAACCATCATCAAACACCACTTCATTGTTGAAGCTCACCTTCTTGGTCTTATTAATTTCCTTGCCATCTGCCAAGATCCCTTTAGGCTTCCACACCATCTTCCTCATGGTCTTGTTGAGCCTTCTCTTAGGATGTTGCTCAAGCACATAGATGTTGTGCTTGTTCTTCCTCCCACGCAATACAAGTCTTCCACCTTTGTAGACCTTGCACCATTCTTGCTTTCTGACGTACTTGCACCCTCGTGTTGTCAACTCACTAAAAGCAATAATATTGCTTGAACACTTGGGCACATATCTCATATTCTTGAGAATCTTAGCTCTTTCATTGTGAACATTGAGACAAACATCTCCTATGCCTTCAATATTCACCTTCTCGCTGGTAGCCACCATTATTTTGCCAAGCTCCCCCCGAACCAAACTCACAAATTCTGAAGGATTATTGCACACATGCGTGGTTGTAGCGAAATCCAAAATCCACCTTTGGTTGTTTTGCTCCAACTCAGGATCACACTCTTCACAAGCTAATACTTCAACCACATTTTTTTCAACAATATTAGCCTCCCCCTTGCCCTTGGTTTCTTGACTTTTCATCAATATTTTCATATTAGAAAAGTCCTCCTTAAACTTTAGGCATTTATACTGTTTGTGACTTAACTCACCACAATAAAAACACTGCACTTCACCATAATCCTTCTTAGGTTTGGATTTTGACCTTTCTCGATTTCCTCCACCTCCACGTCCATTAGATCTTCCCCAAGAGTGCTCCATCACCAAAGCATTAGTTTGATTGGCACCATCATCCTCCCCAAGAAACTTATCATTCTCCAACAACATGGATATGACATCTTTCATCACCAAAGTAGTCTTACCCACTAGCATACTTTGCAGTAGGGACTTGTAAGACTTTGGCAAGGATGCAAGCAAAAGCAAAGCCTTCTCCTCTTCTTCTAGAATGTCCCCGGCATTCACTACTTGTGTCACCATCATGTTGAAATCAGATAAGTGCTTGTGAATATTTGTGCCTTCTACCATCTTCAATTAATATAGCTCTATCTTTAAACACAGCCGATTGGTTAAGATTTTGAAACATATATCTCTTCAAGCTTTCTCCACATGCCTATTGGAGTAGTCTCTGATATTTTGCCAAGTGAATGTTGACATTTTGCTAGGAAGAATGGGATTCCATATTCTTTTGAAGGTCCTAACTTCATCCAATTCCCCTTACTCCATCGTTAGAAGAGAATAAGTAGTTTTGGTTGAATATTGGCCACCCTTGTCGTGAATCTGTTGGGAATTTTGAACACCACAATCCCACGCAAACGGAAGCAATAAAGAAATTGAGATAACAATTTAATGTGGTTCGACTTGTAAACCTCTCAACAAGTCTATGTCCACGAGAAAGAGAGAAAAAAATAAAAAAATCCACTATTAAGAAAAAGAGTACAATAATTTAGAAGCTCTCTCACTCAAAAAGCTCTCAACACCGTAGCTTAAATATATAGAAGCTCCAAAATTCTCCCTAATACTCTCTCTTAATCTACACTAGGATTTCTCACAATTTCTTTCTTTCTTTTCTCTCACAAGAGCTCTCATTCAATTTCTCTTGCTTTCCCCCACTTTTTGCTTTCTCATTACCTTTGCATACATGGGTATTTATAGTGAAAAATCCAACCACCCATGCACCATTTTTCTTTGCCTCATTACCACCGGTGCATGATTTTTCTTGCTCATTAAATGGGTCAACATGCAATCTTGCATGATTTCAACAAAGAAATCCTAACCCACAACTAGCTAGGTTGGTGAAGAGATTTCACCACATGGAAAGTCCATGTGTTCACATGCATGGGGTTGGACTTTCTACCAACAGAATCCACTCCCACAAGTCAGGACCTCCTTGAGAAATCTTCACTTACGTCCTTTATCATCTTTTGAAGTTCTATGGCTTCATCAGCTTCCCAATCGAACAAATTCCTTCTCCATTCTTTGTTCCATTTCCATGAGCCATTGCTAGCTTTACCCATCTGGTAGCATGTGTTCTCTTTACCTATTGATAATAGATATAATCTAGGAAATCTATTAGCAAGACACCCCTCCCCACACCAATTATCCCACCAGAAACTAACCTTCCTTCCCTCCCCATCTTTATCCTAAATCCCTCCGTCAACCACCCTACACTCTCTCCATCCATAGGATCAAGACCATACACATTTCTCCACCATATTGAGCCTACTCCACTGTTCCCTTTTACCCAATCTAGTGAATAAGACCCAGTTCTTTTGCATTTTGAATAAAAATTTTGATATAGTTATATAAAGAATCTTTAGTTACAGAATTGATGGGAACTTGCCTTGGTGAAAGAGGCAAGCGAATGTGTTCTCTCTCTTGCTTTTTCACTACCCTTAACAATGTCTCTAACTTTCTATCCCTTTCAGCGACCAGGGAGTATGAATTAATAAAGATGAGAGTTTTTCTTTTTGAAATTTCTTTCTTTGGAGTTTTGGTCTTGACTATCTCAATGTATTTTCGTTGTATTTTACCTGAGGTATATAGAGGAAGATCGCGTGAATGTAGGGCTAGTTGGACTCAAACAGATTGCAGCATGCAGTTGCTTCGGCAACGGCATGGTCGGGGCAGAGTCCTGCTTAGTCTTTCTACTCTAGAAATTAAAGACCTGGGGTTTTAGAACGGGACTTCCTTAGATGCACAAATTGGACAATCCTCCTTGGTCTATTTGCTCCCTATAGCAATGATGGCTTGTCTGTAACAAATGGATTCTCCTGAGTTAGTGCATACAAGGCATCAACATCTACCGCTTGAGCTACCTCCTATCATTTTCTCTATATAAGTCCTCTTGGAAGAAACAAGTTAGCAACTGATTAATAATCCATGGCAACCACCCAGAAAACTGTGAACTTGAAACTCATGGTGGACTCCAAAGGCCACAGAGTTCTGTTTGCTGAGGCCGAAAAGGATTTTGTTGATTTTCTGTTCAACTTGCTTTCTTTGCCTGTTGCAACGGTGATAAGGCTTCTATCAAAACAGGGCATGATCGGCAGCCTTGCATTCCTCTATGACAGTGTCGAAAACTTAAGTGGTAACTACATGCAGCCATCAATAAAAGAGGATGTCCTGTTGAAACCAGATTTAAGTGTTTATATACATAGAGAGAGAGAGGTGGATCCCCTTTAAACAAGTTTTACACATTACACTAATGTAAAATTTTAATCATTCATTTTTTTATTTTCAGTAATTAAGATTTGTCGAATCAAACCTTTAGGTCTAATGATTCGTCTCCAAACTTTAATGCTTAGGTTAAATTAGTCAAGAATTTAACTCCCACCAATGACTTGAAAATTCCCCATTCTCTCATAATTTCCCATGTTCAAAAAAAAAAATTTTGAGATTTGTTAGACATTTTTTGCAATACAGATTGATACTCACTTTTCATATATATATATATATCTACTTACACATAAGTTGAACCTATCATATTTATATAAAATTTTAATAATTTATTTTTGCAAACTTTTTCCGGTTTGATTTTGTTGACAACAAAAAATAATAATGATATGCAAGGTACAAATAGGAGGTTGGGCATTTGCTCAAAAAGTATAATGTTCTGGATGGGGGTCTTGAAGAGAAGGTGGTAAATCTGGGCAAAGATGAGTACTGCATTTTGCTGCTTGCCATATATATTTCAAAATTTTGGTTTGTTATTTTGTATCCTACTAACGGGGTCTTCTTTCGATGTTCAGGGCTTGAAACTGCTTAAGGCATCATTGCACTCTTAAGACTCTGCTTACTAATGTTCTTGGTGAGAATACTGCGGGTTCTTATCGAAGTCCTGCCACAGGCTTGGGAAAAGAAAAGCTGGAGTTGGACCTTAGATTATTGTCTCGGACAAAAAAAAACGAAAATGGTTTATTACAATCAGTCGACTATCGATTGAACCTGTTTTCCAGTATCTATATCTCATCGTTTTTTCTCCTCGTGAAGAATCAAATTTTAAGTAGTGTAACGCTTTTGTATTTGGAGTGCCAAGGGAATGGTGTTTTGCTTTCCTCCTTGTTAAATCTTAAATGTGTTCTTCCATATCCACTTGCTCAAATTTTGCATTGTGAATAGAAACGTCTTTTGAATTAATTACCTTGAGTAATCAAATTTCAATCTTGAAAAGCCAAATAAAAAGAATGCCCTTAATGCAACTTCTGCACACTCCGCTTCTCCTTGGCTTGGACCTATCTTGCCCATTCACTCCTATAAAAGCCAACCTGATGTCTTTAAGGCCTTGCAGGGTTATATTATTGCAGAAAGACTGTCTCAGTGTCCATGGCATCCTCCTTGACAACAGAGGCCACTAACAAACAAATTAGCTTGAAGCTTCTTGTAGACACAAAAGCTCGGAGAGTTGTATTTGCTGAAGCAGGAAAAGACTTTGTTGATTTTCTGTTAACTTATCACACTTGCCTGTTGGCGTTGTGATGAGGCTTCTTGCCAACCAGCGCGTGGAGGGCGGGCTTGCAAACATCTACAAGAGCATTGAAGATTATGGTGACAAGATCATGCATCCATCACGAAACAAGGATGACTTGATAAAGCCAAAGGTTGTGACCATTAACACAACTGATCCTCAAGAATTGTTAGATATTCAGACTACATCTTATGCGTTTTTCAATTCTTACAGTTGCCGTTTGATGTTTCAGGCCATGCGAATTGCTTCACCCCCTATATTAGTTGAGCCATCCGAGAAATCTCTTTCGGATGATGGTGGTTATGTAAGAGGCAAGCTTACATACATGGTCATGGATGACCTGTCTCTGAGGCCTAATTCAGCTGTTTTTGGTATTGCTATGCTTAACAGACTTGACATAAAGAATACCGTTACTGTTAAAACTAGGGAGGTTTGTCTAGGCACAAACGAGGTATGGCATCAATCATCTTGCTCTGTTTCATTCCTTGTGTTCCTATTTCATTTTATTTTAGTTCTGCAAAAACAGCTCTCACAATAGTCAAATTTCTTGTTTTATAACTTCCTTGAGTCATTGTATTCTAACTCTTGGTCCTTATTGCTTGGTTCTGTTTCAGGCTTTCAAATTGCTCAAGGCATCGTTGTATTCCAAGACTGTTTACTGATGTGGTCCTTGGTAGCCAGGATGAAAGAATAAGTTACCGGGGTGTCGTGTGTCATCTATTTATGTTATTGCTTGGTTTTGTTCATTTTATGTCCCTTTGGTGCTAATTAGAGAAGTACATCTGATGTTTTGAACAACAACTTGTTGGTTAGAGTGGAAGGAAATTGGTTTTCCTTAAGTAACGTTTCGAGTTCGAGTCTTGTGAATGGAGAAAATGGAGAAATAACTGTTGAGAGAGTTTTCCCCCTAATGGGGTTCGATACGGCTTGATTCCAGATTAATCGGAATCCAATATGGTTACCAGATACCAAGAGATTAATACCAAAAAAAAAAATATCTGATGTTTTGTCTACTTGTTGAATGTGGACAATGTAGGCTGCTTCAAGATAATTATTCGTATGGTTATTTTCATTAGCTAGTTTGAGGTTGTCTGTTCACTAAATTCATTCTAACAAGAGTATTAATTAATTCAAGTAATATAATTATGAAAATAAAGTATCATCCCATAGACATTATAAACTAATTAAGCATTAAAATTAACTAATTTTAATTTTATTTAAACAATTGAAATTAAATAATTTAAATGAAGTAATCAACTAAAATAATTAAATGAAAACTAAATTGACTTTGAGAGATGACAAGAATTAAAATCCTAAGATATTTGATTTCACCATAATCACCTAACATAAAATTTAGATTAGTATACTTTCAAGATCTCTCATGTGATAGCATGATTTTCTATTATATTTAATATATTTTGTCAAGTTATACCAAATCTATCTTTACTTATTAACCAACTATATCTTTATATGAATTTAAATAGATAAAAATGTATTATGTTTTATAAAATTCCTTAGTTTATTTAGAAAATTAAGTCCACTTATCGCTAATGCTATACAAATCATATTTGTCCATCTCTGACCACTATATCTATATATGAATTTAAATAAATAAAAATGTATTATATTCTATAAAATTTCTTAATTTACTTAGAAAATTAAATCTACTTATTATTAATGCTAAATAAATCACGTTGTTCATATCTGACTTTTGTTTAATTCATGATATATATTAAACTATTGCATAAATTCTTCTTTCAATCTCAATTATACTCTCCAAATCAGTTTTAATAGTGACCAATCATTAAAAAGCATTAAGAATAATAACATATATTCTACATGAAATAATAAACTTTAAAATTATAAAAAATTATGAAATTTTATATCAAATTAACTAAATTATATTTTAGTTTTAGATGGTTAAATTAATTCATACTAATTATGATAAAATTTGAAATTAAATTGCCGAACCTCAATTTTATATTTAAACAAAAAGAAAAAAAAAAAGAGTAAAGTATAAAGAGAGCAAAACCTCATTTTTAATACAGTAACCAATTTTGTAACCTTTTAGTGCGCTCTTCCTCTTTTTCTTGGTTTACCGCCTTCGTTTTGCCCGACACACAGCTGTTGCCTTCAAAATCCCTTGAAAGCTCTGCCGACTCTCTCCTCTGCCACTCCACCGGCTCCGTTTCCCTTGTATATCTCCAACTGTGTGCCCTTGTTAAAAGCCGAGCTCGCACAGAACAAGAAAAATCAATTCAAGTTTTGGTCTTCGAATGGAAAAACTATGGATTCAGACTTCATCTTTTCAGCTTTTGTCATTTCAGCCCATCTACTCTTGATTTCTTCAATTTTATCCTCTACCTAGAAAAAATGATGAAAATGATGTCAAACCAAATAAAGTCACTCAAAGACAATATAAAAGACTCCAATTCATAACTAAAAAGTCATGTAAAATTATATAGAATTTGGGTTTATCATTGTCAAATGTTTAAAGCAAATACTCATTTCATCTCCCCGGGGGTTCTAAAGATTGCATTTCCATGAACCAAAAATTCCTAGTAGGCTATTAAAAATTGAGTAATACTTCGCCATTTTTTTTATTGAGATAAGGCAATTGCTAGTAATGTTTCACAATTAGCTAAACTTTGATTTGTACAAAGGAAAACAGGGATAAATGAGGCATTACACTTGATTTTTTTGTTGGTACAGTGGTGATCTCTTTTTATTGGAAGAGATCTTGAGATTAATTTAAGCTGTACAATATGTTAGAATATTAAGTAAAAGAGAAGGGATTGTGCTACTTAAAACCAGCAAAAATATAAGAAAGTTCATTTGATCTCTTTGTGTTTTTTTTTTTTTTTTAGTTTGAGTTTTACAAATAGAAATATAAATATTATGAGAGTTTTCTTTTTATAAGATTTGACGTAACTTGATTTTAGATTAATTTTCAAATTAATTAGGATTTAATGTGGTTTTCAAATATTGAAAAGTTTAGTAAAAAAATAATTAAAAAAAAAAAAAGAAAATTCATTTGATTGTAATGGTTAATTGAGTCATAGTTTAGTAGTTTAGCTATACTATTAAAAAATTTAGGCATTTTTAGTATTATTATAATTTTAAGTTTTTAGTTTTAGTTTTTAAAATTCCAACAATCAAAATTAAAAATTAAAATTACTTACTTATTGTGTATAAAATCAAAATTTTAAAATAACTACTCAAAATTGTAAGCTTAATTTATAAAAATTTTTAATTAAAATAAAAAATTTAAAATTACAATTATACTAAATCAACCTAAATTTAAAAATATAACGATAATCGATTGAATAGTAAAAGTTTCAAAATAAGGTGGTAGTAACAAATCCACTCTCGAAAAAAAAAATATGAGGGCAAATGTCACCCTAAAATCATCCACTAACACCACATATTTAACTGTTGATGTCAACATGGGAAATGATTTTTGTATAATTTTTTTATCACATCTTTTTGTTCAACTTAACGTATCATTAAAATAATTGGTTTTTTTAATTTATGTGGGACTCATAATATTGAATGCATCCACTTATTTAATAACATGTGAAAATTGTATGAAAAAATAGTATACAAAAATTGTCCTTATAGCACCACCCATGTCAACATCGTCAAAATATCCATTGGTCCCATGATGAGATGGCATTTTCTTACATGCTGGAAGCTTACATGTCCATTCTTGCTCTTTTTTTTTTTTTGTTATAAGAACAACTTTTTTATACCACCTTTTATACAACTTTTACATATCATTAAATGAGTGAATGCATTCAATATTATAGATCTCACAAGAATTAAAAAAACTAATCATTTAAATGATACGTCAATATGTATAAAAAAATTATACAAAAAAATTGTCCCAAAAAAAATTTTTTTTTTTTACAACATGGCATTTTTCCATCTTGTACTAACTCTTCTACTCCTTCAAATATTCCAACAACCTCACCGTTGTTAGAATCTCCATTTGTGTTGCTGTCTATCTCCTAGATCCTCATCTACCGCACCAATTCCTATAAGTCCCTCAAACCGTTCATCGAAAAGGCTACAAAGAAGCTCGAGACCATGAAAACCAACCAAAATCCCAACAAAATCAACCTCAATAAATTAAAAACCAAATAAAAAGTGCTCATCGTCTTCAACCATTTTGCATCTCCTACCCCCAACACTTTGCAACTCCTAAAAATTTTGCCAAAATTTTCTCCTTTTCAACAATTAATTTAATAAATAGACAAAAAAAAAAACTTAAGAATCAAGATCAATTGAATGTTCATCAAGTTTCTCCTACAATCAACATCAACCAAAGATAATTTGTATAGCATGGGCATACCATTTGTTCTTCCTCTTTCTTCTCGTTTCTCTTTTCTTTTTCTCTTCTTTCTTCCTTGCTCTTCTTCCCTCTCTTTCTCTTCTTCAATACCCAATGAATAGACCCAGAATTCAGATCTGGATTCTAAGAACCTAGCCCACCAACCACATGGCTCTTCGATGGAGAACTAGTGGGTCCACAATGGGAGACATCTGGGATTCCAATAATATCGTGGTTCTTGAGGAGGAAGTCACCAAAGGCTCTTAGCATGGCCAATCCATTGATTTTTTGCAGAATCAACAATTCTTACTTGGTAAATTGGGCTTCAAATATGTGGTTAATTGAATTGCCAGTGATGAGCTCAGGCCCCAATCCACCAGCAATGAGCTCTCTCCTTGATCTTGCCATATTCTTTCTAGGATCAAGAATCTAGTGAAGGAGAAGAAAGAATCAAGGGAAGAGGGTTAGGGTTTGGAACTTGGTGGAAGAAGAGGTTTAAGGGCAATTTTGTAATTCAATTTTTGATTTGTATTTGTTATATTAGATTTTGATAATGAATATAAAAAATGGTAGAAAGTACCACATAAGATTAAAATGATGCAAAAATAGGACCGAGTCAGCATCCATGTCATCAAAATAGTTCTAGCATGTTTAAAAAATCCATCTCAACACATAGTTAATGGAAAGCTGACGTAACATGACAATAACAGTTAAATATGGAATAATATGTATTAGTCAATGATTTTGGGGTGACATTTGTTCATGCTTTTTTTCAGAGAGTAATTTGTCCCACCACTCTATTTCGGAAGTGGATTTGAGGGTTTTATTGATGTGTAAAATAAGAAGTAGAGAAGAGTATTTACAGTTACAGGGCAGGCGTGGTATATAATATAAAAATTTTTAGTTATATTTTTTTTAGATTAAGTACTTATTTAAATATTCAAAAACATATAATTGATATTTAATCCAATAGATACTGAGTAACTTATAAATATATATTTATGTGCTTAACACAAGGAAAGAAAAAATCTAATATGAGATTCTATTGTTACATTTGATATGTATTTAATTTAAGATTTATTATTTATATAAATTGTTATTACTACATGTATAATTTATTTAACTTATAGGTTTTACTTAATTTTTATTTTTATTTTTTATATTTTATTATTTTTGTTTTTAAAAATTAATATTATTATATAGATATTAAGTATTGTAAGTAAATGTAAAATTTTAATTATACAAATATAAGTCATAGATGAGTTAAATAAGTTAGTTAAATAAATCAAAAAAATAATTTTATACTTTTATATTTATTACTTAATTTGATATTTACAAATATATTATTTTCGTATTTATTATTTACTTTTTTTAACCATTCAAATATTATAATTATTGAAACATATAAAATACTTTCAAATATTGAATATACGCATGCCAATGCGTACCCCTAATAAAAAGTTGCAAAACAAAAGCCCAATAAATCGTTTCCCTAATTGGATAACCCAGAACTAAAAATCAGCCTAACGGTTACTTCCCCACCTCGCGTATTATATAACCCCAAAAAATAAATAAATAAACAAAAGTTACAAGAAGAAAAGAATGGACTTCATTCTAGCAAAAATAAGAATCATTTCATCTAAATAGCATCAATGATATCAAACGTAAATCAGGCAACTAATTAACGGATGTCATTTCTTTCTAGCGTCCATGTCCCATGTTATTGGAAATTTTTTTCTTTTCGACCTCTGTCTCTTGTTTCAATGAAGACGTAACAATTTTCAATACATTATTGAAATTGGAACGTCATGGTTGGTTCTTGCTTCATAAGTTAAAATACTCAAGCATGAAGGAAGGTTCGAATTTTCAACTCTATATTGAAATTTGTTTGAGGAATATTATTGGATTAAATTTTTAGTTACAAGATAGTATTAGAATATGTGATGGGTCACTGAATATCTTCTTACTAGGTCAAATGTTTTCCTGACAAATAATATCAAAGTTAATTGCTAGTATAATCGATCAATAATAATTTCAATTTTAAGTTAGACTTAAAAAAAGTGAGAATATATATTATGTAAACTTATAATGAGTATATTTATGGATGATGTTGTGTTCATGATGTATATACTCACAGATCATATATAAATATGTCAAAAAATGAATCTATGTTAAAAAAAAAAAAAGAATTCTCACTAGAGCCTTCACAACTCACAAGTAAAAGGGAGAATATTAAGTATGTATTTCCTTGTGAGCATGAAAGAATGAAAGTCCCATATTGAAAAATTAAAAATATAAAAAGTGACTTAAATATGCCAAGATTCATGTAACTATTAGATTAATCTTTTGATTTCAAAACAGAATTGAAACATATGATGTGCCATCTGTGCCATCCAATCTCTCCCCTTCACCCAGATGTCCATAAACCATTAATTATCGATAACTTTATTAACTTAGAAGTCAGGTGGGTGGGGTATCTACCAAACAGTATAGCCTCTCACAGCTAACAGTGGAGGGTTACATAAGGAGGATTATATTTGTTGCTTATGTTAGTAGTCACTTAAAATTTGGTGTAGTTCCGTAGTTGTCTGCAACTGCAAGTTATTATGTAGCAAATTCTAGAACAAGGTCATTTCTCCTAGTGCCATAGGTATCGATTCCTTTTTCTACCATGCCTATACTGTGGGAAATCATTTTTTGATTTCTCTTGTTTTATTGAGGGCATGACAGTTCTCAATGTATCATTGAAATGGGAACATCATGGTGTGTTCATGATTCAATAAATAATAAGTACTCAACATGAAAAGTAGCTATTAAGAAAATATCTAGCATTAAGCAAAATGCAAATACAAGCGCGCGATGACTTTCCTTTTGATGATCGAAGTTTTTATACAAGAAAACATGCATAATGCCGACCCAAAATGACAATTAACATGCATTAATTTTAATATGCAGAAACATTTAAAGTAGCCCCTTGAGAATGGAGATTAAGACTGAAAAACTTAGGCGAACACACAACAAGGAAGAGGAGAGTAGCAACAATAATAGGTGAAATTGGTTGAAGCGGTGGGGGAAATGGAATTGCAATTGAAAATGGAGCTAGGTACGTCATTGACAGCAAGTAGCAGAGAATGAATAACATGACTGGTAATGTAAGCAGGTTTATTGTTTTATCAGGAAGTAGGAAAAACACTGCGCATGTTGTAGTCAAGAAAGTTGCAGTGTTTATAAAATAGAAGTAAATAAAATTAGGTGTGGACATGACTGAGAGCCCGACTTTTGAACTGTTACTCTTAGTGACAGATCCAAGTTTGGTTTTGTGTATAACGGGCATGGGTTCAGTAACTGGGGGAGTGGAAGGTGCACTTGAGGAAGTGGAAGGTCCCCTTGGGTTACCAGAATCTTGGTCACCAAAGTTACCCTGCCAAACACCTCCAGGTGGACTAAGACATGCTTGGTAGGTAGCTGTTAGGATCAGTACAGCTACTACCAGCATAGCATTCCTCATGTCACTAGATATCATGTTATTCTGACGCACCATTGTTCTTCGTAATTTCTGTGACCAAGACATTCTTGTTCTTAATGACCTTGCTAATGTCTGACGCACAGGAATTCTTTCAGCTTCCAGACATCCAGCTCGACGAAGAGCGTCTACAACTTCGGTGTTGTTAACTTGGCCTTGTAACATATCCAAAGCTGATCGGCCATTCAAATTGACTTCGTTCTTGGAGATCATCTTACATTCTAATAATAATCCTACCATCTGCTCAGCATATATAGAAAAACAAAAAGATTTTAATCAATGAAATGTTGCCACTAGTCAAATCATTTTGTTTTTTTCCTTCGATACTCTATGCTTTGCTAAGTTAATGATACCAGACTAATAAAAAAAAAAGGGGGAAATTAGAGTGGATGAGGAGATCAATACCCAGGGATCATTAATGGATGCAGCTATATGTAGAACTGTATTTCCTTCCCGATCTATCCCGTTCAGGAATTGCTTATTCCAAATGTCAGCATCTTTGTGAGTGGTCTTTTCAAGCCAATAAACCAGAAGTTTCAGAGTGTCAAAGTTACTATTGTTGGTTGCAATATGTATGGCATTCTGGCCTTGAATGGTCACATCTGTGATGCATTCAGGACAAGCCTCAAGAAATTCAGCTATAAGATCCGAGTATCCCTCCTCCGCTGCAAAATGCAGAGGAGTCAAACCACCCCTCCCTTTGACACGGACAAGATCTTTATCAACTTTGAGGAGCTCACGTACAACATGAACTTGGCAAGTTAACAGGGCAAGATGCATGGGGCTTAGCCCAGCTGGGTTTAGCTTCCTTGCATATGATGGCTTTAAGTTCATCATTTCCATAGCAAAATCAATGTGCCCTTTAAAGGCTGCTATATGTAGTGGAGTGTCAATGAAAGGAAATCTATCAATGCTCTCTAAAACAAATGGATTCTCCTGAATTAGTGCATACAGGGCTTCAATGTCTCCCGCTTCAGCAGCATCCCTTGTTCTCTCATCCATTGCGATTTGCAAGACCAAGCACAAATGATATTGGATACAATTATTCCTAACAAAAAAAAAAAAACAAAACAAAAATTCAATTCAATTATTAAGAAAGTTTTTTTTATTAATTTTTTGGTATCTAGTAATCACATTAAATATCAATTAATTTGAAATTAAATCGGATCAAACCCATTAAGAAAATTTTTTTTCAATACTTATTCTTTATTCACAAAATTTAAATTCAAAATATTATTTAAAAAAATCCAATTATTTTTACTCAAATAAACAGTTCATTGGTTACTAAAAAATTCTTTAATAAACAGGAGCTTTACCCTTTCCTTTGCCCCAAAACGGTACCCAAAAATCTCTAATCAATGCAGATTTCAAGGAGAAATGTCATTTTCTAAAGAAAAGAGAATAACAATCGCTCAGTACATCGATTATGAGAATAGGCATGAACAAGCAGTATAGGGGGAGGGTGGTTTGTGGCACAAGGTTTTAAAGGCTAAGTATGGGAGAGAGGGCGTAAATTGGACGAGATGGATGAAAGAGAACAGTGAGTTAGGATCTCTATGGTGGAGAGATGTATGTAGGCTAAATGAGATAAGGGGGAGTAACATAGGATGGCTAGAGAGAGGTTTTGAGTTGGATGTGGGGGAAGGTAAGGAGATGCTGTTTTGGAAGGAGAATTGGGTGGGGATTGGTGAGTTGGCCAACTTGTTCCCTAGATTATTTTTATTATCTACAGGTAAAGAAAATGTAATTAGTCAAATGGGCAAATGGAAGAATGGAGAGTGGACTTGGAATTTGAAGTGGAGCCGTGCTCTCCGGGAAGAGGAAACTATCCAATTACAGAATATGATTAGTAGGTTGAACACCAAATCACTTACCAAGGGAAGAAGGGACGTATGGCACTGGAAACATGATCAAAATGGCATCTACAGTGCAAGTTCAGGTTACCAGACACTATCAAGATCCTTCTCATCCACAAGGGGGGTAATTTTCAACAAGATTTGGAACCCCCACATACCCACAAAGGTCAGTGCATTCAGTTGGCTAGTCAC